GGGTGGAGGGGGCCTGGGTGGGGAGGGCCTCAGAGGCCTTTCCCTCCGTCCAGAGGCCCGACCCGGGTTTGTAGGCAGCAGAACTCTGCCAGGACGTTGCGGTCGTGAGGGTAGCAGCGTTGAAAAACTCAGTTTTCTGGGACCCAGCTGGAGGTCCTCCATCCGGAGCCTTTGGAGTGGAGGGGAACCTGGTCCCCCAGGAAGCAGCCACTCCTGTTGGCAGCTCTGAGGAAGTCCCCGAGGCCCTCTGTGCCTCCTGGCCACTGTTTTCCTGGGTGGATTTGGGCTCTGTGACCGCAGGCCTGTCCATTCCCCTGGTGGCCGGGGTGGTCCTGGGCTCACCCACACCGATTTGCTTCTCGAACGTGCCGCCATTTCGATTTGGAACAGCAGTCTGGCGTTCTAGATGTGCTATGGCTTTCTGAACCCATTTCTCCTTTGGATCAGCACAGAAGGTTCTGTTCTTTACCGTCCTCAAGCTACAAGGAAGGAAAACAGGGACCCAGTGATGCCCAGATGCCACGTGGAGTAGAAGCATCAAAAAATTGCTCTGCAGGTGAACAGACCCGGCTGGAAACCCTGCTCCCACCCCTTATTAGCTGTGAGCTGTGAGCTGATTAGCTCAGGCCGCTTGACTCCTAGAACTTGCGTGTCCTCACCTGAGAAATCGAGATAGCATACCTACCTTCTGTAGCGTGACCAGCCTCCCCAGAAGAGCTGGGACTGAGGGGGTTCCTCAAGATACAGGACTTTTTGTGAAAGTCCCAGAAAACTGGGGCAAGCTGGTCACCCACTTCAGTGTTATTGTAAAAAAAAAAAAAAAAGAAAATTATGTAAAACACCTGGCTCAGAGTAACAGCCGAAAATGATAACGATGTTAATAATAATAATGTCTTCACCATTAAGGCAGGGAGCTCTGGGCTGTGCCTTCTGACTGGGGGGAGCGGTCCACCAGTGTTCCCTGCTGCCAGGTGTGTGACTGGTGAGCTCCGGAGTGGGGCCTCCTTTCTCTGGAAGGAGCTGACCCAAATGTCCCTTCCTCTGCTCCCTCAGTTACAGGCTGCCCTCTGGACCTCTACCTCTTAGTGTGTCTCCTCAGGCCGAAAGCACACTGAGTGAGCTCCAGCCACATATTCGGGGGTCCCGTTGGGACCGCGAGTGCCATCTAAATCTTGAGCTTCCTCCGAAGCTGGGTGTGGCTGGCTCACTGCCTAGAACACAGCTCAGAGCTGACAGGAGCTCATGCTCCACACCTCTGTGCTAGGCATTTTGCCTGTTTAAACCTCCCACCCATCCCGAGAGGTGGCTATGGCGACCATCCCCATTTTACAGATGAGAAAACCGAGGCTCAGAGAGGTCATGTGAATGTGCATGGCTCTGGTTCGCTGAGGAAACCAGAGAAGTGCAGGAAGCAAGCATAACGCTTCAGGCCCCCAGAGGCAAGGTGCGGCCCAGGGCCGTGGTCCCCTCCCTGGGGCTTCCCACTTCCTCTTTACCTAGAAAACAGAAGCAAATAATTGGGGGAGTCTGGGGGAAGCAAGCCTCACCAGGCGAGGGGAGGAGAGCTCAGGCAGTAGCCCCCATGCCCCTCTTAGCAGCTGCACAGTCGGTGGAATGAAGCACACGACTTCTTTTCGCTGAGCCCTATACTTCGAGAACCAGTCTGTAGACTGCGCCGAAGTCTCACAAGGATCCTGTTTCCCCCACTGTCAAGTGTGGATAATAATCTCTGTTATTGCAACAGCTTCCAGGCACCCTGCCAAGCTGCTTATTTGCATTATCCCCTGTCATCCTCCCAACTATCCATTTTACAGATAAGGAAAACTATGGCCCAGAGGGTAGGCAAGTGGACCACCACCCCCACCCCCCCTTGTAAGTGATGGAGCCAGGATCTGCAGCACATTGGTTGGAGTCTGGAACCTGCGCTCTCAGACCACCGTGCTTGCCGTCCCCAAGAAATGCAGCGGGTCCGACTGCCACCTGAAACACACCACCCGCTGTGGCTGCCCCAGGCCTTTCAGGAAACTGCTCCCAACCTTTACCCTTGGGGGCAGATATTAAGGTCAGCCACGGGCCAGGAGGCAGGAGCAGGAGGAGCGATTTGCTGAGGCCCTTGGCAGGAGCCCAGATGAAAAAGAAAGATGTGCATGGGGATTCGCAGAGGCCAACAGGCCAGTACCTACATGATGGCAGGCTTGCCGCAGGATTCTTGATTTCGATGGTAGTGGTCTAGTAAGGCCACGGGAATCTCCGAGGTCATCCTGTTGCAGATCACGTTGCATTTCTTCACACCGAGGTGCTGTCCTGAGCCCACAGAGGCCCCCAGTCAGCAGGACTGTCCAGGGGCATCTGGCTTCCCAGTCCCAGGCCAGCTCGTGCCAGCCGCACCATCCAGGCCACAGCTGCTGCCCTGCACACCCTGGTCTTCAGCACCCTTGACCTCAGCCCCCCTGTTCCCCCTCCCCCCCACCAAACCTCTCTATGCCTCAGTTTCCCCACCTGTACAATAGAGACAATGGTAGTGTCTACCTCACAGGGATGTTATAAAAATTAATGAAAATGAATTCTTGCTTATAAAGCTCCTACTGCCTGGTAAGTAGTGAGGGCTTAATTTTTAAAATTAAGTTGTCGTTGGTCAGTTGTACAGAAGAGAGGACAAGTCTGAGAGTGACAGGGATCTGCCGGAGGCCACACAGCCCGCAAGTGAGGGAACGGGATCTCCTACCAGGCCAGGCTCTGGCCCCTTCTGGGCCCATGGCTCTATGTACCCCCCACACTCCCTTTACCCCAGTAAGTCACCCGCTCAACTACCGCCCCCGACCCTCCACCCACCACATACACACACCGTTCCTCCCTGTCAGGCTGATCCATGTTCGTGGATTTCCACGACCTCTGAGACACACATCATATGCCCACCCTATGACACATCCTCACGCATCCACACACACCAACAAACAGGACGGCACATGTGAACCCGCCCCCCTGCCACAAAACCATGTAAAGGCATTCATATGACTGGGCACATGGAACAAATAAAAAGTGTTAAAATGTGGAAGTACAGTCGCCTTCTAAGGAGGCTGGGGGTGGGGTCCAGTGAGTAGGGTACCCTTTGTTCTGCCGTGAAGAGCCAAGATGAGTTTGGCAGCAGTTGCTGAGGGGAACCGAGGGGGTCATTTGGAGTCCCCTGGGCAATTTAGGGGGGCAGGAATAAGGAGGAGGGGTGGAGATGGGGGTTGTGCAAGGGCTGAGGGGCTGAGGGGGGTGGCTAGGGGCCTGCTGATGGCACGGAGCCAGAGAGAAACCCCAGGACAGGAGGGGGGTGACTCAACAGACAGTTGAGAGCCCAAATCTTTTTTTAAAGATTTATTTCTGGGGTGCCTGGGTGGCTCAGTCATTAAGCGTCTGCCTTCGGCTCAGGTCATGATCCCAGGGTCCTGGGATC